TTTTTTTCCCCAAATGTGTGCTGCTGCTACTATTGTGAAGATCTCGAATAATGCTGAGGTTTCGTCGAAACTTTCTAGGGTAGCTGTTTCGTGTGGCCAGCTATCATAGACCCCGAACATTGCAGCGTACCCGAAGGTAGCTGCAGCGTCTGTCCAGATAACTGGGGATTCGTCAGATATGGGGGGAATGAATAGTGATCTCCCATTCCAGGAAGTTAAAAATAGGCTCCACATATTAAGGTCAGCCCTTGCTGGATCGTCTAGATTAATCTTAGTGTTGTCGTCAGGGAGGCCCTGTAGAAGGGAAAGTAACCTAGAGATGAAAGCTCTGCCTTGAGGAATAATTCTCATGGCGAAGTTAAGAGACCCCAAAAGTGATTGTAATTCTTTTCTGGTGCAGGACCAGTGATTGGTGCAGGTATAGATGTGAGTTAGGACCCTGTCTACTTTGACTTGAGGAAGGCTAGCTTGCATGGTTATTGAATTGAGTGTGATGCCTAGGAAAGTTATTTCTGTACTGGGACCTTCTGTCTTATTTGGTGATACCGGGACTCCTAGTTCTTTAAATACAGAGAGTGCCTTTTCCAGACTGTGATGTGTAGTGGTGGGGTTCAACGTAAAAAAAATCATCAAGGTAGTGGATTACTACTGGGCACCTGGATTTGTTGAGCAGTAGCCAATTCAAGGTTTCTGCGAATATGTCGAAAATTTGAAGCTGAAGGTCAGGCTAGTCGCAAAATAGTATTTCTTATCTCACTTCACTCCATGTAGATGCCAGAGTGACTGCTTAATTGGTAGCAGTTTGAAAGCATTTGAGATATCTGATTTGCTCAACCAGGCTGCCTTGCCAAAATTGACAACTGCTTGTATGGCATCGTCTATTTTTGCATATTGTAGTGAGACATTTTCTAAAGGGATAAGGGAATTCAAACTTGTCGAGGTGGAAGAGTAAGGTGCTGAGAAATCGATTATTAACCTCTTTTTGTTATTAAATTTGCCTGTGGCTATACCTAGAGGGCTTGTTCTTCAGGAAGTGAATGGTGGTGTGGTGAATGGTCCTATCATGAAACCTTCTTTGTTCAGCAGATCTTTTAGACTGTAGGTTAGGGCATTATAGTATGCCTGAAGGGAGTGCTATTAAACCTGTATGAAAACCTGTAGTGAAGCCAGAGATGAGAAAGTCAACCAGTTGTGAAGAAGGATGTTCAGTCAAGTAACGTTGCAAATTAAGTACGTCATTGCTTTTTTAGGGACTAGTTTGTTTGGACACATAGTTTTTGAGTGTGCTCTAAAACAGATTGAGCAACGTGGAGCAGTCTACAAGTGCTATAATTACAACCCCCGGCATTAAAGTTATTGCAAACTTGTGCTTTGCCAAGAAACACTATAGGCCTCCCTAACTTGTCTTTTACTTCCCTCTGAGTTGTGTTATTAAGATAGTCTGGATTGGTGTTACTGGTAGAAGGACCGTCTATATTACTGGGACAAAAATTAGCAGTATGAGAGGCTGAAGAACATATAGCACATGCTGGTTCTTTAAGCCCCGCAAAATGTCTACACAATAATTCTGTGTCCAATTGACTCCAATCAGTAGGAGTATTGAACTGAGCCAGTGACACGGCTGATCTGGCCGAAAAGGACTTATGGTAGTCATAAAATGCGTAACCGCCATATTTGTAAGCTTCCACCAGCTTGTGCAGATATAGATCCAGCTCTTCTCTACTATGTGGGAAGGAAGAGCAAATTACATCCCTATATAACCCAAAAGCTAGCACAAATTCAGGAATATTCCATTTTTTATTAAGCCTAGGATCTCTGGATTTCATTACTACGGATATATCGTCGAAATTGTAAGACCTATTTTCGATTATATCCTGTGAGACAATGAGGAGGGAAGCTAAATTAACATCTTTCCCTTCTAGAATGTCACGTTTTAGATTTTGTGGAATCAGATGTACAAGGCTAATAATATTTGATCTTTTGGCAGGAATAGGAGTGTAGTTACCTCCTGAGCTTGTATCTAGTTGTTCTGGAGGAATTTGTACTTCTGGAATGCTCGTTTGACTAGTAGCTTCCAGGTTATCTAACCTGTGGTTTATAGTAGCTACAGAGGCTACCAAAGAGGTCATCATACTCCGTAGTTCTGCCAAACTGTTTTGTATTGTACACTCAGAACTAGGGCCTCGTATTTCCTCATTGTTTTGGTTGTTTAGTAAACGGAAAGGTTCCGCTTTCCTGGCCGTAGCTGGAAAGGGAATGTTTCTTTTATTCAGTTCGGCTGTGATTTTTGGAATAGTCCAGGATCTGTAGCTGTATGTCGTACTGGATTGTCTTGGCTGAGCGCTAGACCTGGATGAGTGTCACGGTAGTTCACCCCAACTCGCAAGATTTAGTCCAACAATTGACAATATAGAGCAGGTACGTCTTACCGGACCTTAAAATGGCTGGACTCGACATAGAGCAGAGAAATACAGAGTCAGGAACGATCCGAGGTCAAGGGTACAAAGAGACAGCGAAAACAAGAACTAGCCAAGGTCTGATACACAGTAATCAGTAAGCCGGCAAACAAGACAAAACAGGGATAAAGAAATAAACGGAGTCAGATACAAAGCCAAGGTCAAGTACAAAAAATCACAACTGAACACAACAAGCGCTAAAGGGAACTGAAACAGAAACCAGGAACTAAGCCTCACAAGCAAATACCTGAAGCGACCATCGCTTAGCAGATCGCCCTACTCCACAACAAAAATCAGGAAGCCATCTCCAGCAGACTGGTCCAGATACAGGAACTCATATATGCTGTTTTCTCAAACAGAACATGACCAAACAGAGCAAAACAGGAAAGCTGCAAAGTCCACTCCACGAACTCCAAGTGCCTACGGCCATACTGTCAGGGTGGCGGTCCGGAGCCAAGGACCCAGACACTGTCCAGGCAGTGGTGCGTGGACCAGGACCGATGTATGCCTGATGTTCAGAGTAGGAGTCACAGTGTGGAGGTGGATTAGCAGGGTCTGGTGCAGGGTAACCGCACGCCCCCTGGTGTTGAGCACCAGCGTTTGTGCAGCCACATACCAGAACCCTTATTCAGCTTATGCGGATCCCAGGAACTAGGAGCAGGTAATTAAAGGACCACTCTAGGCACCCAGACCACTTCAGCTTAATGAAGTGGTCTGGGTGCCAGGTCCAGCTAGGGTTAACCCATTTTTTAATAAACATAGCAGTTTCTCTTTATGAATGGGTTAAGCCTTCCCCCTAATCCTCTAGTGGCTGTTTCATTGACAGCCACTAGAGGCGCTTGCGTGCTTCTCACTGTGATTAGAAGGAGTCTATTTACTTAGAATTGCTGTTGGAGCACCCCCTCCCATCCTGTGTTCATTAACTACTCAAAATGGCTGCTAGAGGCACCCCATCGTGTAAAGGAATGTAAAAAATGTCATGTGCTAAGATGACCTCTCAAGCCAGAGTTACACCCAGGATGTTGGTGACATCACACTTTGGAGGAAGGACATTGGATAAGACACTTAACACTCGACCAATTAAAGATGTATTCTCTCTTATCTTGCTTTCTGCATATGATGTATTTCTGCCTTTATAAGGGCGCCCAACGTGAGGCTCCGCGGCTGTGCCCGACAGTCAGCTGGCCTAGGCCTACAGTGACGGGACAGATCCTGATCAACTCTGAATATATGGTAATGACTGCAATCTTATAAAATGTGAGGCACAGATGCTATGTATCACAGCTCAGCCCGAGCCCTGCAGACCACAAAGCGTGACTGCCCCTTTAAGAGACCTGGCTGGGTTTGAACTCACTGCTACAGCATCCCAGTCAGGTTCTCTGCCATGACATCCACCAAGGGGCTTCAGTTTTTGTTTGCATTTTTCTGCTTCCTGACCCCCTTGCCTGGATTAAGAAGTGCTGACCCACCTGCAACCCTTTTCCAATTAGGGTCAGCTGCATCTAATTAGTAAGCTTTAAAAGCCAGACCTGCCTGAAACCTAGGATCTGGTCATTTTGCCTGTTTGGTGTTTCCTGTCAGATCTTTGATTTGCTACTGACTGATTTACCGACTTTGTTACTCCACTGCCGCCCTGACTTCTGCTTCTTGCCTGACCCTGCCTTTGGATTTTCCCTTAATCTGTACTGTGTTTTAGATTTTGCCTGCTTCCTGTGCCATCTGCTGCAACTGGGCTCCAACTCCTGGTAAACTGTTCCATAAGTCCCCTGGTGACTGTTACATAATGACCAGATCATTACCATGGAGCCCGCAGAGATGTTGAATGTCCTGACTACTCTCACACAGCAAGTGACCCTCCTGTCCCAAACCGTGGTTTTGCTGAGTTAAAGGGGAACACACACCATGCACCTGAACCTGCATTACCTGACAAGTTCACTGGGAAAAAGACTGAACTGCAATAATTTATCACAGCCTGTAAACTGCTCTTCACTTTAAAACCACGCACATACCCCAATGATTATGTGAAGGTTCGCACTACAATTGCTCTGCTGTCGGGTAAACCCCAAATCTGAGCACACCAACTCCTGCACTCCAACAGTCCAATACTGGACTCATGGAACTCCTTTGTTGCAGCAATGCATACATTATACCATGACACCCTGAGACCCTCTGCTGCACGCACTGCCCTCCGTTCCCTCCGGCAAGAGAGAAGACCAGTGGAGGATTATACTACAGATTTCCGGGAGCTAGCTGCTGGCACCGGTTATAACGAGACTGGTCTAATAGACCAATACAGATTGGGTCTGTCTGAGGCATTAAAAGATGAACTAGCCAGAGTTGGGGTACCCACTTTATTGGAAGATCTGTTCCTTCTGATCACCCAGCTAGATCGTTGGTTCAGAGAAAGAAAGCAGGAGCAATTTGAAACCAGCTTTTTGCCCCATCAACGTTCCAAACCTGCTGGTGAGACCTATACCCCTATCCCCACCATGGACACAGAGGAACCCATGCAAATTGGAACATTGAATACCATGCTCACGGTAAATGAAAAAGCCAGGAGAGCCAAAGGCCTTTGCTTCTATTGTGGCAAGGGAGGCCACTACATCAGCTATTGCCCGATACGTCCTCCTCGCCCTAAACATAGCCAATATGGGGACTCTGTGTCACCATCCTACAAGTCCATCATGGCCTCTTTTTTGTTCAACTCTGCATGCTACTGGACCGCAATGACCATCTAACCAGACCAATGGCACCATCACAGCCCTGGCTAACCCTGCTCCTGTTCCAGAGCCTCAAAAGGAGGCTGCTGTGGCTACCTTCCAATCCTCAGCTTCTGTCTCCCCTAAAATTTTCTGCTCTAACACAGAGGATCTGTCCCCAGACTGTGTAATTGCCTCCAATGTAACCGTGGTCCGCAGGCAAGATCTAAAGGTCTTTGAGAAGGCTCTTAAGGCCAGAGCTGCATCTCCTTCTCGACTCCTTGCCTCCACTGCCTTCTCAAAGAATAACAATCTGCAAAATGTTCCAACCCTTGCAGATCCTTATGATTCTGATGCCTATACAGACCTGGATTTCCTGTCTGATCCTGAACTGGACCATCCTGAACTGGACATTGGCCTACCCAGCCACCAATAGGAGGATGTCTGTTCGCCTCCAGAGGTCGCTCCTTGTGGGGGGGCTCTGTCACGGCTCAGCCCGAGCCCTGCAGACAGCAAGGCGTGACTGCCCCTGCTCACTCACTGATACAGCATCCCAGTCAGGTTCTTTGCCATGATATCCACCAGGGGGCTTCAGTTTCTGTTTGCATTTTTTTGCTTCCTGACCCCCTGACCCCCTGACCTGGATTAAGCAGTGCTGACCCACCTGCAGCCCTTTTCCAATTAGGGTCAGCTGCATCTAATTAGTAGGCTGTAAAAGCCAGCCCTGTCTGAAACCTAGTATCTGGTCATCTTGCCTGTTTGGTATTTCCTGCCGGATCTTTGATTTGCTACTGACTGATTGCCTGGACTCTGACCTCTGCCTGATTTGCTGACTTTGTTGCTCCGCTGCCAGCCCTAACTTCTGCTTCTCGTCTGACTCTGCCTTTGGATTTTCCCTTAATCTGTACTGTGTTTTGGATTTTGATTGTGCCATCTCCTGCAACTGGGCTCCAACTCCTGGTAAACTGTTCCATAGGTCCCCTGGTGACGGTTACATTATGTTTGAGTAATGCTAATTTAAAGTATATTTTTCTATGAACAGCTCTATGGGCTGTTAAATGCACAATGTTTTCAACTGTCTTATTTAATTTGCCAGTTTTATTTCCAAATTTGTATACTTAAGTGTAGTTTAGACACTGATAATGTTGTGTTGCAGCATTTAATTTAAATTTTTAGTTTGGTAATTTATTTAACGTTTAGTATCTCATTTTTGCAAAGGGTAATGCTTATTTGGTTTATTCATCAGCTAGAGTACATGCCGGCCATCGCCCTATGATGGCACCTGGCACGAATGGAAGGAGGTTGGCCCAGTCCCCGTGACCTCTACCCAATTACCCCTATCCAGTCACTGCCCCCTCAGCCCTGCCCCTGGGTACCTTGTCCTGGGGGTGGATGGTTCATTATATTCCTCTGCCCCCGCCCTTGCCCCAGTCATGCGTTTCCTGCCTTCCCTTTCAGCCCCTATTGCTCCCGCCCCAGTCATGCCTACTCCTAATGTCCACGCTCCTAATGTCCACCCCTGCTATGCCCTCATCTCCTGCTTCTTCCTTTCCTGCGCATGTCATGGCCATCACTTCCTTTCCCGCCCCTGTCATGGCTGCCCCCATCATGAGGCCTACCCCTGTTATGCCCGTCTTCTCGATGAACCATTATTGTCCCTCACGCCAAGGGGGGGAGTCCAGGTGTTGCCCACCTCCCTACGCCCCTTCTTCTCTGTACGGTGCCAAAGTAGCGGCGCAGGCCCCAAGTTCCTTTGATGCCGCCAGCTCCCATGATAATTAGCTCCCATGGTAACCAGACGGAGGTAGCTTATGTGGGGACAGCCCTACACGACCCCATGTTGAGATTCCCAAAGCCCAATTTATCACGGATGGAGCCCCTTTGATGTATGTCACATTCAACCTGTCCCAGGCCGCAACTCTGGTGGGCTCTCTCCCAGACCAAGAGAAACAACCCATGCCCTTCTACTGAAGGATTTCCCAAACCCGAAAGACCCATTCTGCTGCATGGCGTGCCTTGTTTAGGCCCAAGATAAATTAGCTGATCAGGCTACCTGTATTAACGATATCATCCAAAATAAGCAAGCATTTGTGGAGAAGTATCACTCCAGGTTGTCCCAAATTTCCTCTGACCTCGGTTTTACCTTATATAACAAGGCCCATACCCAAATGCTATTTGCGGCCTTCGTAGTAGGCCTCAAAGAATCTATTCGCAAAGGCCTGAACCCTGACATTTACCCTACAGCTGGTTACCCCGCCCAAACTAGTCATCCTGGCCCGTGTCGAGCTCACCTAGTTCTTCTACAATAAGTAAATGGCAATGGGGACAAACCTGTGTCGCCTACCCTTGTCATGGCAGTGTCTTCAGGGGATAAGGTGGGGGGGGGGGGGCCATAGCCACTGTGGTCTGCCTGTAGAAGGCCACCCAACCACCTTCTTAGTTGACACAGGTGCAGCCTGAAGTGTTATTAGAGAGCAAGACCTGCCTGAATGCAATAGTCCTGGACAGTTCCCCTAGTGCCTTAGCCAGAATACTTGCCAAGCAGTGGTCCACAGGCCCTGAAGATTTTGGACGCCTCCCAGTTCCCCCAGTATATGTGAAGCTGTTCCAAGGTGCAATTCCACCCTGCCAACACCAGCACCCCCTGAAGCCTGCCCAGGCCCTTGCTATATCTAAACCAGTTGAAAGCCAGCTAACAAAAGGTGCCCTGGCCAATACCCCCTTGTTTCCAGTGAAGAAGAAGACAGGAAAGGGTGAGCCAGAGATATACAGAATGGTTCAAGACCTCAGAGCTATTAATGATGTGACAGTTCTGGATACCCCCATTGTTTCTAAGCCTCATACCCTCCTGTCAAAAGTTCCTCCTACAGCAAAGTTCTTCACAGTAGTTGATCTGGCAAATTCCTTCTTCAGTGTATCCTTTGAATCCTTCAATATCTATATGCATTCACTCGCGACCGCCAACAGTACATATGGACTGTCATGCCCCAAGGGGCCCAGAATTCACCAAGCCAACTTGTAAAGGCTACGGCTAGTGTTTTGGATCCATGAGAACAGTCGCCCGATAGGGTCCTGATCTCCCAACTGCTGAGCATGCCTCAGAAGACCTACTCGGTTTCCTTGCTGAACAAGGCTGCAAGGCCTCCAAGAAGAATCTCTGTGGTATTCTTGGGACATTGTCTTTCCCATGGCACCCGTCACCTTACCCGGGACCGAGTCAGAGGAATCTCAACTATTTCTCCTCCCACAGCACACGGGCCCCTCTGTGCCTTTTTGGGCCTAATCTCTTACTGCAGAACCTGGTTACCAGAGGGCTCCATCCTCATGCAACCACTCTATGATGCCGTAAAGACTGAACCATTTTCTCTGTCCCCTGAGGCCTTGTCCAGCTTCTTTGCTTTACAGTGTGCCACTCCCACTGCCCCAGCTCTGGGCCTACCAGTTTATCAGAAGCCCTTCAAGTTATTCCGGTCTTCAACCAGTTTTTGCAGCACAGGCCTTAATTGACAACACAAGTGATTTGATATTTGGGCATACACTCGCCATTCTTGCACCTTATGACATTGCTGCCATCCTCAGTTAAGTCTAGCCTAAGCATCTCTCAGATGCCCGCCACCTTCGCTCACACTGCTCTCTTCTGCTGCCCGATAATGTATCCTGCAGAGGTGCTACTCCCTCAACGCAGCCACTCTTCTGCCTCTTCCCAGGGGGGAATTCCCCACTACTGGTACAGCCTCCCCACATGACACTCAGACGTTCCCTCCCACTACACCTTGTGGTTCAGAACTACTCCAGGACCCGAGGCTGTCCTATAAGAACCTGAACTCACCCTGTTTGTGGATGACTCCAGGTTTGCTGATGAACACTGAAGATACCATACTGGACTTGCTGTCACCACAGTAAAATAAATATTTCAAGCACCATCACTCCACCCAACAATGTCTGCTCAAGAAGGTGAGCTACAGGCTCTCCCCACAGCATGCAAGATCTCTGAAGGAAGACACGCCAATATCTACACTGCCACAAGATATGCACTAGGTGTGGCATATGACTTCGGATTCATCTGGTAGACAAGAAGATTTCTCACAGCAACTGGCATGCAAGTCAAGCACAGCACAACTATTAAAGAGCTGATGGATGCCTTACTCCTTCCTGAAGAAGTGGCCATACTGAAGGTAAAGGCTCACGGAAGACTGAACTCGGAAGAGGCGATTGGACTGTGTGCATAGGATCTGAGCGCTATTCGGTACTATTGTGCGCTCAGATCTAAGCTATCTGGAGATAGGTAGAATGTATATGTTTTGTGCAACAGTTGTAACTTTATACATTTCTATGTCTTTTACTGCCATGTGTTAATGGAGTTTTGCCTCTGTCCTGGTTGATAATTGGATTACTTCCCAATTATCTCCAGGACAGAGGGAGGGAAGTTAGGATGCATTGTGGGGAGGTTTTACCTCTGTGTGTCTGTCATTGGTTCATGTCTGTCCTTTGTCACAGTCTCCCATTTGGTCCCCTAGGGGAGTGTCCACCAGGTGGGAGACCTGCATAAATACTGGGCAGGTAGCCCTCATTAAACCAGACCACTGCTTGACCCTCAACACGGAGCTCTGTCTCGGGGGGGGGGGGATTACTGTATGTTGTTAGAGACTGATTGCCAGGAGTGTAAACCGCTTGGGTGCTTTTCCTGTTCGTCTGCTAGCAGCTATTCGTGAGGTTCCAATTTGGGAGTTTGGAGTGCTACTTTGTATGCAGTTCGGGAGTTTGAAGCATTCCCTTGTATGCAGTTCCTGAGTTTGGAGCATTCCCTTGTATGCAGTTCGGGAGTTTGGAGCATTCCCTTGTATGCAGTTCGGGAGTTTGGAGCATTCCCTTGTATGCCGTTCGGGAGTTTGGTGTTCTGCAGTAGCTGTGCCTCTATCTCTGGAAGGGGAAGATCTTCTAAACGGCGGTTTAAACCTTTTATGCCTGGGGGTGCCGTTACACTATCTAAATGATCAAGCCGCCAAACAAGCTGCGTGTGCACCAAGGGAAGTGGACAGAAGAGTGTCCGCTGAAGAAACTCCCATATTCACTATGTAGGCCCTACCCACAGACCTCAAGCTCCTGAAGGAACAACGGGTGGCTGCTAATTCTGAAGATATACGAAACTAGAAACAGAAAAGGGGAACCCTTCAAGACTGGCTATACTCCAACAATCTCAAGTTCGGTTTACCCAGGCGCATGTACTCAGCAGTGGTCCAGTGGGCCCATGGAGCGGCACACTTGTCCAAGACCCTCATGAACCCCTTGATCAACAAATACTATGAAGCACCAGGAATTACCTCCCTGACCAACAGTTACTGCAGATCCTGCGCCATCTGTGCCAAGTGCAACCCAGGCAGCCAAACTTCACTACCCCTTCCAAAGAATCCAAGTTGATTACGTGTAAATGCTAAA